TATATATTGCTCTAAACACAAAAGAGCTCAAAACATCAAAATAAGAAAATACCGTAAATCAAAAAAAGGTTTACTGTTATTTAGTTTGATTCAATACCTACAAAATCTTCATTGTTTTCACTGTAATTAATTATTTTTATTATGTAGGGAGCATTATAAATAGTTATGTTTTTAAAAGAAAAAACTACTATTATAAATAATACATTCAATTGAACTAAACTATGCATGCCTATTTAAATATATTTACACATGGCTTGGGTATATCGTATATATACATATATATTATTAATACCTTCGGTGTATAGGATGCAAGCAGTACGGTACTACTTGATGTTTCAAAATTTAATTTGCAATGATAGGTGTTTTGTAATACTGGCAAATTATTGCTGCTCTCAATTTTCATGGGTTAAACCAATGACTACAACCTGCACTATTATATAATTAATATAACATTATTTCAGACATAACATAGTGTTCCTTTTCTAACTTACTTGCATTGTTATTTTCTAGTTGTCACTCATTTCTTTTTCTGTGTGTGTGTATGTGTATATATATGAGAGAGAAAAGACTTTTTTGACAACCTATCATTATGACATTTTCAATTATTTCATCCAGTATGAAATTAACAGCTGAAGTACATTTGGGAGTTTTCAGTATGGATGTAAGAAAATTTCTTGTGGATGTCTGTTTTGACAGGGACAGTTTGAACATTGAAGTCAGACATGCAAGTATATCAAAGTCCAACTTAAAAATATGGCACTTAGTTGTAACATCCTAGTGTCAGTCTAGTGATGTGTTTGGTAAATGAAACTTTCACAACATTTTACATGAAATTGTATTATTTTTACTATGTTTCATTTTATTTTTACTAGTTAAGTGAAAACAATAGTTTATTCATGTAAAAATGGTTCTGTAATGCGTTCTGCAAAATATATACATCTACATTCCTAGACCAAATGTTTGGCTGATAACGGAGCATCTGATATCAGGTGATGGTTTCCAAACACTTGTGACTAAAGGTGACTGTTGAGGTGGATTTGACTATTGGGATACTATTGCAATAGTATCGGATATCTAGGATTGGACAACAAATTCAACTCTATAATTGAGTGTTTATATAACATAGATATGTATTTGTTGAGAATTAATTTCAGATATGTCAATTATACTGATTTGTTATTTTTATATGATTTCATTACTTGTTGTAATACATAGTAATTGAAATGTCATGGTTTTTGATAAAATACTGGAATGCTAGTTACAGATTTGTACTTAGTGGGCTAGTTTTACTATATAATTATAAATTTGTGCACCAAACAGGTGTTATTCTTCTACTTGTCTAAATTGAGATGAAATAAAATAGTTACGTAACATGACTTGCATGCTCTTCAAAGCAGGTGTTTCATTTGCTGGAAATAGCGTAATGGCTTACTCTGTGCTTTATTGTTAGGGGGGATTATTACTCCGTTGGCAAAATAAAAACATGTTTAATGAAAAATAAAGGTTTAAATTGTGAATACATGGTCAATACAGAAAAGGAAAGTACGGTGTTAGTCAATTTACTTCATGTTTAACCATTTTTTGATTATTCTTGGTTGATGTCTCTAATGACCCTGGAATTAAGTACATTGTTTGTGTAGAGAAATCTACAGATAAAATATATAATGTTATTGAAAAAAAACTAGGTTCATTCAGGAGAATCTTTTGAGCATTCAAATAAAATACGAAAACTTTAAAATGAAAGTGAATATAAATAATTACTATCTTGAAATTCAGGTTTCACTCAAATACTTTATCTTGAAAAATCTGATTTTTTTGTATACAATGTACCTTTCATGTTTACTAAAAGATTATCAATTTTTGTGATGATACACATCATAAATTTCAGATGATAGTAATTGTTAATTCTCCAGTATGGGCTCAGTCCATTTGTGAGCAAAGCTGCTAATGGTTAATGTTATAAACATGCTTTTAGGCTTACAGGTAAGTAGAGACAATAAACCAGTCTAAATCAAAGGGAAATTACCAAGAAATGGCTTAAATAAAACAAACAATATGGGGAAGATAATTAAGTTTGCAAACTATCAAAAACATTAATGGTCAAGAGTACTATTGGTGATTGTTAATAATTATACAATTTATCATTGATGTATTGCTGTTGGGGCATTTATAATTGCAGTCTATCAATAGTTAGATGTGTTGTTACACTTCTAGTTCTGGTTTGTTTTCTAAGCACAATGCAAGCATCTATTTGGAAAAATAGCCATTTTTACAGTGTGCAACCAGTAGGCACACCAGTTCATTTTGTAGTGTATCTGTGATAGTACATCCATAATTAATACGTGTAAAATACAAATGTCACACATCACTCAAAAAAATTACGTGTTTTACGTGGATATGCTAGCTACATGGAGCACTGACTAACTATAATTAAAGGTCATTTGCCAAATAGTTGTCCAACTTACCAACTGATCCAAGTCATTCTGTAGCACTTCAACATCTTCAAAAAAGCTATATATCAACATCATTAATTAGTATAATATCAGTAAAAGTAAAGGCCTAAGAATTGTCCCCTAATTTTTGGGTACATTTAATTAGACTCCATTAAAAACAAGCTTTTGCTTTCTTTCATTCAACCACTGAACAATCCAGTAAACTAATCTTTCCCTGTCCCTTACCGATATGATATTCTTAGCTAATCTTTTGTTTGGATACTTTATCAAAAGCATTTTGAAAATCTAAGTACCTAAAGCCCACACCATTTCCATCGTCCAAGCAACACGTAACATTATAAAAAGGACTTAACAGGTTAGTAAAAAAGATTGTTTTAGTAAATCCATATTGGTTTTCTTTTATGATATAATATTTCACTAAACAGTTTTTTAAGTGGAGCTAATAGGTTAGTTACTTTTACAGAAAAGTTGACAAGTTTGTTTTCTTTTTAAATTAGCTTAGAAATCTTTTAAAGTAAAACTTGTTAGTGTCATTGATTAGGTGGCATAATGAAACAGTTTGTATTTGTGGTTTAAATAATTGCAGGTTCATAATGCTAACACATACTTTAACAAGAAAAGTTTATTTATATTTGTATGTGAAAACATTTTAAATCCTATCCAATAATAGTGAAGGGAATTGTTATATCTGACGAAAAAGTGACATGAATTAAGCAAACCCACATGCAGATAAGTGGACACGAAGGATCAGATATAAGAATGGTTCAGGCAACAGAAAACCAGAGACAGACCACTCGTGGAGGCCAGAGAATCTACAAGATTGTAGTACTAGGAGATGGTGGGGTTGGGAAAAGTGGTAAGTTTTCATTTGTTTTCTAAGATAGTCTTTAGTATAATTATCTATGATCATGGGAAAAATCTCTTGTTCTTAGTAAAACTTGACATAAAATTTGAATTATACAGGTTTCAAGAGCATAAATTTACAAAATGTTACTATTCTCAAGTATATGCAAAGCAGAAAAATAAGCTATCTAAAACCAAATTATGTCGAAATACTGCAACATGATAAGGTTTTTTTTTTCTATATACATAAACGTTGTGCACAGTAGAATTATTTCAATACAGATTTTGTCTTTGACAATGAGACATGATCAAGTTACAAATACATTTAATCACATAATTGTGTTTATAATGATACTAGCTTCATCTGGTTTTTAATGTAATTAACATAATACAAATATAACAGTGCTCCTGATGTTTTATATATGTTAGGTTTTAATTCTTTGATTCTTTTTTCTCTGCATTCAATATTTTAACAGTTTTCAAATTTATCTTGTGTTGCTTTTCAACTATATGTTGACTCCTTTAATTTTTTCATGTTCCTTGCATCTTATTATTTTGGTGTCTTTTTCTATATAGAAACTTTTGTAGTCTAAATGTCTAATAATACACTGCAACTTTCCCATATTTTTTCATTATTATATAACTGTGGTAGAAAACTTTTAATATTGGTTCCTGGTTGAGTTATGATTTTAATTTTAACTTTTTTATTTTAATTTGTTTTTAACTTGATTGACACCATAAGCTAATATTTAAAGAATCATTTGTATTAAATTGCAAAGTTTGTACTTGATTTGTGTGAAATTAATCACTAAGACATCACCAATTGTGATGAGCAACTGAAGCTTTATGTGCCCGAAGTACTTGTACACTTTTATTCTTTGGAATTCCAATAAATATCTTACTTTAAAATATATAAATGTATATTATGTCTATTTTAAGAAAATGTGTTGTATGATTTTACATGTATACTATTTGTATTCACTTATGATGCAATATTTTACTTGCAGGCTTTTTAAGTATATGTGTATTTCAATTCTGAAATTTAAAATTATTCTTTATATACAGATATTGAGAAATTATTTTTGGCCACATTTTTAACGGGAATTTTTAGTGACTGAATTTAAGCAAACGTTGTGTTAAAAACTGAAAGTTTCAAAGGATATTTCCCATACATTTACACTTAGTGCCATTATGTGTAGTATGTATTAGTGACAATATTGTTTTTTGATTGTAGCATTGACACTTCAGTTTGTGACTCACAGTTTTCTAGAGTATCATGATCCTACTATAGGTAAGTGATAATTCTATGTTACTAACTAAATGAGGTACATATTTCAAATATAATATTTTATTTCCTTTTTCATCTATATTATGAGACTTTTTCAAAAGAGTCTTTAATTAGAGACTGAAATGGTACAAAATGAACAACGTACTGTAATTTAAATGACAGGCCAATAAATCTTATGTGTAAGGATGTGGGGTCAAAATGCACATGCCATGACCTTTTATAGAGTGTTATTCACATGGTTTTATGTATTTGATATTAAAGTTATTAACTATTCATTTTACATCACATTGCTGATTGAGCAGCAGTTTCTGGTAGAAGATAGTAAATATCAGATACAGTATGTATGAATACAAAACAAACTAGAATTTTGGAGGTTCTCGAGGTTATGCAAGTGCAATATACAAACTGTATGGTGCATAAAAGTATTTTTATTCTTTACGTGGTTATCTCTCTGCACTCCAACTTGTCAGCATTGTGATGTCTTCAATTCACAGATATATCTTGAGTACAAATACTTATACATACAAATACATATCTATGTTCAACAGACTTGTACACTTTACTAAAAGTTGTATTTTATGTACATACACATAATAAATTCAGAGTTACAGTCCGCATTCCTTCTCCAATATGGAGTTGATCCAATGGACTGATCTCGTGCACATTCAGTTAAAAGAGAGATTATTCTACCTATAAAACTATATAGCATTAAAATTAAACACATCGTGCCAACATATAAATGAATTTTTTATGTGCTTCATAACTAAAGTAAAAAAATTATTAACAGAATAGTTCAAACAAGACTTTTCACATGAAGATTAAATATAGTAATACACAAATTGCATTGGCTACCTTAGAAATTTGTACTTCATCACTTGCCAGTCTGTCCATGCTGTAATAGCCAAACCCCTAAATATTGAGTGCTAATAGTTTGCATGCTTACCCCTTAGCACTCGATGTTGTATCATTTATGTGATAAAATATCCTGCTTTTTCATTTGTTTTTAAAGAAACAAATCCCATCAACCATTTTACATCTACAATACTAGGATACATTATTTTCACAATACAGATTTCATTTTTCACTTTTAGCTAAATTACATTAATTGTATTATTTGTCTAGTTGGAAAACTAGATATAATTATATTTTGTGGCCCCTGGACCTTCATAAGAGAGTAATCCTCTTTTCTAATAGAAGCTGAAATGCTATTTGTCCCCTCCCCCCATCTTACAATATAAGTCTGAATCATTGGCTATGTTGAATCATTCTGCTCATAATATGATTATTTATTAGTTATAAACTCATTGAATCAACTGAGCCTGTAATAAGAGGGTTAAAGGTACACAACACCCTGAGGGGAAGAGAACTAATCATGAACTTTTTATTTTAATATACAGCTATTAGTGTTTACCTTCAGCTCATTGGAAAAATATCTGTTTTGTATAACCATTTTAAGGTCTCAGATAAGGATGTATCAAAAATACTGTTTTGATCTACATATATAGAGGATGCTTACCAACATCAAGCTGTCATTGATGGGGAAGCTGCTCTGTTAGATATACTTGACACAGCTGGACAAGTAAGTTTTCTTGTTCTTCCAGATATTAGGGACAATTCTTAAATATTAATGCTGGCCAAGTACTTATAGCTTGTATAAATTCATGTCTATTGTCAAAGCTTCAAAATAAGTATGAATTGAAAAGGAAAAAATTGATAATAAAATTTGACTCCAATTGCTTGCACTGAAAGAACTAGTGGTACAAATGTCTTTATCTGTCAAAAAGGAATTGTTATATTGAAATATAAGGTGCTTGGAATGTACACTTTATAAACTAAGTTGGTGCGTATATCTTTGAACTATCATAACACCAGTGCTATTCCCAAGATTGTGTGATAACCATGGAAAACTACAAGTTTTAAACTCATCAGTTTTAACCAAGTGAACTTCAGTTAACTGTTACTGATTCTGCATTGTGTTTTATCACCCACACAAACACTGAAATGGCTAGTGTTGAGATGATACGTATACACTTCATATAAGGTAATTTAGTTGTAAGAATACACATTTATCTACAAAAGCCCCCCTCCCCTTTTGAAATTGTTAAATGTATATTTTCTTTGTCATGTGAGGCATAGTAGCATATGATTGAAGATTACCAGAATATAACACATTTTCTTTAATTAAAAGTTTTTAGAAATGTTTGCAATGAAAAGGAAATTTCTTTTGAAGTATACATGCTTCAACTGTGAATGTACTGTTCACTTGAGGAGATGCTGTGTTACTGGTACTGTGATAGTGTTTATCCAGTTGGATTTATGATTACATACATAATCTCAAGGATTTCTCTTATCAACTGCAAGAGAACTATAATCATGTGTTTTCAAACCTTCTGATGTATTTGTAGTACAGTTTATTGCATTTGATTGCATAATGGGGACTAACTTGAAGAAACATGTTGCATAGATGTACTCTGTGTTATATTCAATGCATGATTGTGATTAATTCAAAGTAACATGTGCTTAGTGTTGTATAGGGAATTTGTATTGATGTAAACAAGGCAATCTAAATTTTATTCTACGAGACCTTTCCGTTGTATCAAAGCTTTACAAAATCCTTTCAGAATGATTGAAAAGATTGATCTAGCTTGCAGAAGTGGTGTAGAAATTAATGTTAACATTTTTATTCAGTAGCTATACTTTATAGATATATGTATTAAAAACTTCTTCTTCATAAAAATATTGAACATATATAAATTATGTGCATTTTTGGTCATTCTATGAACAAATGATTCATCTGTCAAAATCATAACTGAATATTGCATTTGGATGGGTGTGGTTAACATAAGTTTAATACAGATAATATTTTCAAGCAAAAAAATGATAAAACTTATGTACACTGAGTGGTCACAAATAAATAGACACCTAA